TTACCATAAGGTACGGTACCAAGAGGTACGGTACCAAAAGGTGGTAACAAGAGGTACGGTACCAAAAGGTACGGTGCCAAGAGGTACGGTGATAAGAGGTACAGTGGATAAGAGGTACAGTGATAAGAGGTACAGTGATTAGAGGTGCAGTGATAAGAGGTTCAGTGATAAGAGGTGCAGTGAGAAGAGGTACAGTGATAAGAGGTGCAGTGATAAGAGGTGCAGTGATAAGAGGTACAGTGATAAGAGGTGCAGTGATAAGAGGTGCAGTGATAAGAGGTGCAGTGATAAGAGGTACAGTGATAAGAGGTGTAGCGATAAGAGGTACAGGATAAGAGGTGCAGTGATAAGAGGTACAGTGATAAGAGGTGCAGTGGATAAGATAGAATGGTGATAAGAGGTACAGTGATAAGAGGTAGTGATAAGAGGTACAGTGATAAGAGGTACAGTGATAAGAGGTACAGTGATAAGAGGTACAGTGATAAGAGGTGCAGTAATGGTAAGGGACGAAAGGGGCGTGGCCATGCGGGCGTGGCGGAGGCGGGGCGAAAAGGGCGTGGTCAAGCAAGCGTATTAGGGGCGGGGCGACGAAGGCGTGGCCTGTAGGCGCGGGGGTGGTAGCGGAGCGATGAGGGCTGAATAAATTTCTGAATGAATTTTTCTAGAATTAAAACGACCAGAAAAGAATGAGATAAAGGACAAAAACAAAATAAAAGTTAAAATTGCAAAGGCTATTGAAAGTTTTATGATCAATAATTTTTTTTTAAATGGAATTTCCGTATGGTATTTCATTGAATTTTATGTCTTTTTTCTTGCTTAACAAAAAAAAAAAAAAAATGAGAACAAAAAAATATGATAGGAAAGAAAAAAGAAAAAAACCTAAAATTACAAAAAAAAAAATCATGTTTGCTATCTGTTTTGATGATAATAAATTGAATAACTCAGTGATTAAATTAAATTATGAAATAATTTTTTATTTTTTAGTTGCAATATAATATAGAATAAAAGAATCAATTAAACTATTTAGTACCTAAATTAGATTAGTTAAAAAAATCAGCGAAACAAAAATATTCATTTAAAAATGATGAAATTAATGAAATTGAAAAATATTTTTTCTTTTTTAAGAAAAACTAATTTTCTTTTAAAGTTTCAAAGAATTTGGTAAATATTGTTACTGTTATTGTTATTATTGCTACCTTTCAAATTTAACTACTAATATATGTCATACCTTTTTTTTCTTTTTTTTCAAAATTTGTCTACTTAAATTACTATACTTTTTTTTGGTGATATTTAAATGGTTATGCTTTATTTAAATTTATTCTAGCATGTGGAATTCTAGCATGTTTAAGGACATCTATTTGCTAATATTTAATTTAGAATATTTGGAATGTAATATTGTTTATCTTGCATTGTATAATAGCTCAAATATTTTAGAAAAAGTAATAAAGTAAAAAATTAGTAAAAAAAAAAAAGTAAAAAATTATGTTACTTATAAATTTAGTCATTGCTATTTTCAATTATTAGCAATATTTGATTCTTGAATTTGCAATTCAATTATTAAAGTAATCGAATATTAGCTCATATTTCAGATAATATATGCTAATCAATGGCAATCAATGCAACTAATAAATGATCAAAAAGCAATTCATTTTCGTCCTTTTTTTTTTCTTTACATTTAGGAAAATTATCATTGAATAATAATCAGTAAAATCAAAAAAAAAAAGCATTGATCATAGCTAATTGATCAAAATAACTGCAATCATTTAGAATCAAATCACGATCATTTTAGACAAATCAAAAAATGATTGTTTTAACTATCCAATAAAGCTAATAACAATTTTGTGGACAAATGTTCAATTATTTGACAAAATTTTCTTTGTCGCAAAAAAAAAAAAAAAAAAAAAAACTAATCATAAAATAACAATTGAACACTGAAAATAAATTGATAATTAATAATAATAATTAAATTTTTCTTATAAAATTCCTCGAGTATGAAATAACAAATTTTGTCACTTATTTTTTTTTAAATCCTGAAATTGGTAATAGTTGTAGTTCCTTCAAAATTTGAGAAATTTTGAAAAAGCAAAGATTATTTGTTATAAAAATGAGCAAATTTCAAAACATATTTATAATTAATTTCAGGATAAAAATCCTATCAAGAATTTACATGTGGTTTGAATTTATAATCTTTTCAATTTTAATACCAATAATTTTTGAAATAGTTTTTAATATTACTTTAATTAAAAAAATTTATTAAGTATTACTTTAATCAAAATCAAAAATTGATTATATATTACTTTAATTTATTATATATTACTTTAATCAAAATCAAAAGTTTAGCAATTAAGCTTACATATTACCTTCATGCTGAAAGCTAAATGATTGCAAAATTTCAAATTTAACATTTTCTTACACCTATTTTTATTTTAAAATAACTTAAAATTTTTGTTTTGCTAGATTTTTGTAGCTTAATTTAATTAAATAAGCTTTACCGATTGATATATTTCTCGAGAAAAATTTTTATAATTTTTGCAATCTGATATAAAAATTTGACTTTAGTGATAAATTTATAATTGATATAAACTGTTATCATATCTCTACTAGCCAAGCCAATAAGTGTTAAATTTTTCATCTAATGTTACCTAAGTTTCAAAAGCAGAATTTTATATTTATATTTTTAGCTTAAATTATATTTTTGTCAAATTAATTTTTTCATTTAATTAAGAAAAGTTTATTATTTAAAAAATTCCATTCAGTTTTAATAGTTTCAAATAATTACAGCTATCAGTTTTACGTAATTTATGCATATTTTAACAATTTCAGCAGTTTTATGCTTATATTTGAATTTATAATTTTAATTTTGCGCTCAAATCTTTTTTAGAATAATTGATTCGTGATAATATGAAGTTATTATCAGAACTATATTTGATAACTTTTAAAAATAACTAATTAATTGATAATTAGTAAAACTGCTATAGAATCCTAATTATTATTGATTAAATCTATTAGATTCAAAACATTTGCTGTTAAACTGAATGAAATTATGAGAAATTTAATATAATTTTTTTTTTTTTTTTTGCTCATTAAATCATTAAATGATCAATGCCGCATTCTTTAAAAGCATTAATTGATTCAACTGATTTAATCAATATTATCAAATCAGTGTAAATAATTTACCAATATTATCATATCACAATATCAATGTAATTTAAGTAGATTAAGGATATTAAATGTTAAATTATTTTTATAATATCAATATTCTATCAGTTATAATCAGTGTGACATTTTTGTCTCCTTTCCTAAATTCATTTGCATTCAAATGAAAGCACTTTTAATGATTTGTTAATTTATCAATTTTTTTTTCTTAAACGCTCTTACGCTGATCACACAGCTAATTGATAAATAACACATTTCAATTGTTTAGCTGATAAGATATATCAAAATGAACTTTTATAAGATTGATCTGAACATCTTAGCTAAATCATTCATTTATTTTCAAATTAATTTTTATTATCATAAACAACCAACAATTTAATTCTATTAATTTCATTCTTTGTCTTTCACAGTTTTTTTTCCTAAAATTTAATCATTTCCCATCCATTAAATCAATTAATCTATTTGATAATAATAAATCAATCTTATGTGCAACAAATAATTCTTTTTTTTTTTTATCTCATAAATCGATTTGAAAATTGATTTATTATTATCAGTGTGTTTCAATCAGTTACAAAAGTGACAAAAATATTCACAAACATTTCAAATTTTTCCGACTTAAAATTTTCAAAATAATTTTTTATCACTTGTGCTTAATTTAAAAAAAAAAAAAAAAAAAAAAAAACTTATTTTCTTACATATTTTATCAATTCATAAAATTTCAAATTTTCATAAGAACTTTTTTTTTTTTGAAAAAGAAAGAAAAGAAGATGTATAACTGTATTATAATGTAATTTCATATCACAAAATTATCCTATTATAATGAAAATCAAATGAAATAATATATCATTGACATATAAATAGCAAACAAAATTAATTATCATATTAAATTAAAATTTGAAATTAGGAAAAAGAGAACAATTCATTTTATTAGTTATGTCACATTACTTTTATACAATTATTTCAATCAATACAAAAGTTTTTTTTTTTAGTTTGATTCCATTTCAATCAACATATATAATAGTTTGATTCCATTTCAACATATATCATATTCGATACATTTATTTATTTTATAATTATTATACTTCCCAGAACAATTTTCCCAAAAAAACTTCAGCTAGAAAATCAAAATTTATTACTTTTTCTAAAATATTTGAGCTATTATACAAGATAAACAATATTACATTCCAAATATTCTAAATTAAATAATACCAAATAGATATCCTTAAACATGCTAGAATTCCACATGCTAGAATAAATTTAAATAAAGCATAACCATTTAAATATCACCAAAAAAAAAAGTATAGTAATTTAAGTAGACAAATTTTGAAAAAAAAAAGAAAAAAAAAGGTATGACATATATTAGTAGTTAAATTTGAAAGGTAGCAATAATAACAATAACAGTAACAATATTTACCAAATTCTTTGAAACTTTAAAAGAAAATTAGTTTTTCTTAAAAAGAAAATATTTTTTCAATTTCATTAATTTCATCATTTTTAAATGAATATTTTTTGTTTCGCTGATTTTTTTAACTAATCTAATTTAGGTACTAAATAGTTTAATTGATTCTTTTATTCTATATTATATTGCAACTAAAAATAAAAAATTATTTCATAATTTAATTTAATCACTGAGTTATTCAATTTATTATCATCAAAACAGATAGCAAACATGATTTTTTTTTTTTTGTAATTTTAGGTTTTTTTTTTCTTTTTCTTTCCTATCATATTTTTGTTCTCATTTTTTTTTTTTTTTTTTTGTTAAGCAAGAAAAAAGACATAAAAATTCAATGAAATACCATACGGAAATTACATTTAAAAAAAAATTATTGATCATAAAACTTTCAATAGCCTTTGCAATTTTAACTTTTATTTTGTTTTTGTCCTTTTATCTCTTTCTTTTCTGGTCGTTTTAATTCTAGAAAATTCATTCAGAAATTTATTCAGCCCTCATCGCTCCGCTACCACCCCCGCGCCTACAGGCCACGCCTTCGTCGCCCCGCCCCTAATACGCTTGCTTGACCACGCCCTTTTCGCCCCGCCTGCCACGCCCGCATGGCCACGCCCCTTTTCGTCCCGCCCCCGCCATTACTGCACCTCTTATCACTGTACCTCTTATCACTGTACCTCTTATCACTGTACCTCTTATCACTGTACCTCTTATCACTGCACCTCTTATCACTGTACTCTCTTATCACTGTACCTCTTATCACTGCACCTCTTATCACTGTACCTCTTATCACTGCACCTCTTATCACTGCACCTCTTATCACTGTACCTCTTATCACTGCACCTCTTATCACTGCACCTCTTATCACTGTACCTCTTATCACTGTACCTCTTATACCGTACCTCTTTGTCACTGTATCTTTCTTCTTATTGTACCTTTGGTACCGCATTCCTTATACTGTACCTTTTGGTACCGTACCTCTTGGTACCGCATTTTATCACCG